ACAAAGCATTAAAACATGTTAAAAACACAACAGCCTCAATAAACTCAGAGTAGTTTGAACCCGGAAGCAGAGTTCATCATGTTAAAGACCAGATAGGAGCTGTCAGTTCAGCATACACATGACAAACGGTAAGTAAATTATGCTTATTTTAATGTAAGCAAATTTTTGCTCTTTACTCATACATGTTTAGGGTTAGGGTAGCCACACCTATGCCAGTATGTTGACTTAACAAAACCAACTTTAACCCCTGACTTTGACACACGGTTTTGCCCATTACACAAACAGGTCTGCCTTTCATGTGTTACTATTTAGGCTCAAATCAGTTTGATGTTTGGAGGCTTGCAGTGACGTGTAGTAATTACTTGCCTCAAATAGCTCAAACCAAAAGTAATGAGTCTCTTTTAAAAATATAATAAGTTTAAAGTACAGATATTTGTTTAAAAATGTAGCAAGTAAAAGTAAAAAGTTGTCAGAAAAAGAAACTCCAGCCAACTGCATTTAAGACCACCGCACACAACTAGTCTTGGCCAGTTTGGCTGCTAACCCACCTTAGTGCTTGGCCATCTTGCTCCGCAGTGAATTCAAGTTCTTCCACAGACCTTCAACTTGGAAATACTTTTTCTTACCTGGAAGCTGGTCATTCCTGTGAATCATAGCCACCATTCATGCTCCGTTTCCCTTCACACTTCATATGCCCGCCCTCCTGCCTCCATCATTCCGGATCTCACTGGAGGATAGTAAGCCTCGGAAATATCCCTCATTCTCTTTCTTTCCAATCACTTTGCCCAGTGCTGTTCTGACATCTCTCTCCTTCTGTTGCAGGGACTCAGATTCTCATTTCACAACCCATGACTCACCCCCAACTCTCATTCTGTCTCATCGCTTCCAAAGTTAATTCATTTGTTGTAAATAAAGCCTTGTTAGACAACCTAGTACTGTGCCTTTGCCTGTATCTGCACTTGGATCCACTTTCACATAACCAGTATTTGTACTTCGTTACTTCCCACCTCTGTTAATGGTCAGACTCCAATGGCCCATCAGAACAGAATGGAATCCCAGCGGTGACAGGGATTCAGGGAGTACCCCACACAGTCTAGATGCTGGTGGTAAAGATGAAGAAGGAAGTTGAATGGAGCCTGAGTAACATGGGAGAGGTAGTGATGGGGTGGAGGTGGGTTGCACAAAGGTGTGAGAGATGCACAGTGAGGTTTACAGTACGTGGAGTGAAGCTGATTGACCTGAAGAAGGCGGGCAGAAAGATGTTTGGACTCGACCAGTGATGTCACAATGAGCTTGGCAACAGGGGAAAATAGAAGTGATGCATGGCTTAGATTAGCCACCAAACACCCGGGAAGCAGACAGAAGTGTGACTGCAGAAGTTCCTTATCAAACTTATGCATAAGCTTCATTTCACTAGTGCTAGGACCAGAATTGGTCCCAGCACTGAACCCTGTGGAACTCCATAATTAACCTCAGTGTGTGAAGAGGACTCTCCATTTACATGCACAAACTGGAGTCTATTAGATAGATATGATACAAGCCACTGCAGCGCAGTACCTGTAATACCTACAGCATGTTCTAATCGCTCTAATAGGATATTATGGTCGACAGTATCGAAGCTGCACTGAGGTCTAGCAGGACAAGCACAGAGATGAGTCCACTGTCAGAGGCCATAAGAAGATCATTTGTAACCTTCACTAAAGCTGTTTCTGTGCTGTGATGAGCTCTGAAACCTGACTGAAACTCTTCAAATAAACCATTCCTCTGCAGATGATCTGTTAGCTGTTTGACAACTACTCTTTCAAGGATTTTGATATGAAAGGAAGGTTGGAGATTGGCCTATAATTAGCTAAGACTGCTGGGTCTAGAGATGGCTTTTTGAGTAAAGGTTTAACTACAGCCAGCTTGAAGGCCTGTGGTACATAGCCGATCATTAGAGATAGGTTGATCATATTTAAGATCGAAGAATTAATTAATGGCAGGACTTCTTTGAGCAGTTTTGTAGGAATGGGGTCTAAAAGACAGGTTGATGGTTTGGAGGAAGTAATTATTGAAGTTAACTCAGAAAGATCAATTGGAGAAAAAGAGTCTAACTTAACATCAATGGTACTAAAAGTAGCTGTAGATAATATTACATCTGTGGGATGAAAGTTTTATTTGTAAAGAAATTAATGAAGTCATTACTAGTTAATGTTGAAGGAATGCTTAGCTCAACAGAGCTCTGACTTTTTATGGAGCCTTGCAGACTCGCTACTGCTCTGTGATTGTGAAATAATAGACTGGGTTAATTTAGACACATCAGCAGGATGCAATGAGGCATCTCTGCAGCCAAAAACTGGATCAGTAATGAAGATAGTTTGTTTCCGTGGTTCGCCTTAAGACAACCTACTATCCACCTCTAAGGGTTTGACATGAAACATATGGAAACAAAAGTAACAGAACGAGAAAATAAACTGACTGCAAGCATTGAAAATCCTCCATATTCTCCATCTGTCCATCCCAGGAATAGTCCCAACTACCAAGACTGTATGTGGTAACATCCAGCATGGAAGCTATTCGTAATGAATGAAAAAACTATTGCTGTGCCTGGTTTCCTATGCACGAGGCCATTTGTGATGTTTGCTGGAGTATGAACAAAATCACGTCAGATCTCTGATTAATCCATGTTGGTACTGCACATATACAGATTTTGTGAAGCAGGCTCACTGTTCCCAATATGGAAAAGTGCTGCTACTTCCTCCCACATTCCAAAACCACAAAATCAATATTTTCATGTTAACTCGTTTTAGGATGTGAACTCTGTGACAGTCTGGACATGTCCCCAGACTGTTTGGCATTATGTTCTTTTCATTAAATGCTAGCTATGCCAGATATAACCTCCCGATCATCTGCCAAAAAGTGGTTTCTGATGTTTTTACGTCCAATATCTTTACTTATATTAGTAAATTGACTGTAGGGAACAGGATTCATGAAGGGGGCATATATAAAATACATAAACGACCTGTTTTTGAAGTATCTTTATCACTCTGCCTATTTGTACCCATATTGTCATCAATCCAGTTCTTGTTGATCTGTTAAGTAAGTCAAGTAAGTTTAGAAAACTGTGATGCTGTTGCAATTTTTGCTGCCATCTTGGCTAAACTTCAAGGAAAACACATTTTTAATGTCAATAATGTTTTTTACCTAAATGAAATACAAAAGGCGCTTTGCCAAAAACTGATTGCAGTGATAGGAATGTTCTTTGTGAGAGATATGACTGACACATTTTTGACAGACTTTAGGGTGAAGTCATTTATAACAGCTTAAATTCCCGCAATCACTTTTTCCACAACACTGGAACCATTTGAAAAGTCGCGTATTGCGTTAGAACCCGAATTCTGAACCCTGCTGACGTAACTCTGAGGCTCTGGCCTCACCATCATCGCCATCACCGTACTTCCCAAAGCGTCAGAAATGGCTTTGTAGCCCTTGGATGACTGATTGTTTCTCATCCTTTTCTTTAGATGTGTTGCTTTTTTTTTTTTTAGCCTACTTCACTTTGGCAGTGATTTCTTGATGCAGCATACCTGGCGATAATCAGGCCTTGGTTTGGCAAAACTGAACTGAGCTTTCAGTTAAATCAGTTAATTAAATAAATAAGTGCATTTAATCAGTTAATCAGTTTTAAAAAAAACAAAAAGCATTTCTTCATCTAGAAGGGTAAGCATTTTCCCCATGTATGGCCAGGTATGTTTGGATAAAATTTGTCTACTTTTACAAACCAATTAATCATTTTAAAATCTGCACTTTGCATTTTCTTGAATCATCCTTGAATATTAAAATTTTGACAATCTGAAGTATTCGTGTGACAAACATGCAATGATGCAATGCAAATAAGAATCACAAAGAAGGCAAATACTTCTTTCACAACAGTGAATTCGCTTCCGTTCTTAACTTCAGAGCATCTGTAGCAAATATTTAAATCTTTATTCAGCTGGCATGTGACTTTGAGACACAGACACATAAAGACTCGGCTCTAATTATAGAATCTGACCCAGTCGGAAAACTGGAGCACTTCTGGGCTTCTTGTCCAAAGCAGAGCTGGGACTAAGCAATTTGATAAATTCAACACATAATTATGATAACGATACGACATCAGCTACAGACACGCTGGTGCGGACAGTAAATATTTTATTTTACACAACGCATCAGATCCATCTGTGGAAGGTGATCAGAGTCCACAAATGCATATAATGCAGATTTATATGCATTTTAGAAAGAAAACGATGTACTAAGGGGAAAAAACCCAAAACCCAGCAACCAAAGAAAATCATGAAACAACTCGAGCAGTTACAAAAGTGTTACCAGGTTACACACACACGTCAAGAAAAAAAAACCAAAAACAAACAAGCATCAAACTTGTTTTTACATCAGACACCTCAAAGCATTTAAAACCAAGAAAGAAACAGTTAATAATAACAAAAAGGCACGTTACAAGGTTTGCTGCAGGAAATGTACTAATTGGAGAAAAATGCACTGAAAGAGTTTCACTTTGTGAACATGTTTCTTAAACCTGAATACAGAGAAGAGGCTCTGTGGGAACGATCCACTTTATGTCCCGTGGAAAATTGTAAAATAACAAGTGGGCTGTTAGTACTTCTGTCACTCTGCCCTTAAATGGCAAGCAGCTGGCAGGAACAAATCATGTCTGGCACAAACTGACAACAAATACAACTTTGTATAGTGACATGAATGCAGCGAGACACAGAAACACAGCTCTATTCCCAGCTGTCAACATCTGTAGATCACGTGCTGCCATCTTACCCTTCCCATAACCCCTGTAACAACTGTTACTAAAATACAGAAGTATAGCCACAAATTTATCAAAAACGAGATTCACCTTTTTAATCGCTACGCTAAGCACACGACACAAAGAACATCATTGTTCTGTTCCCTTCTTAAAATGCTGCACTTTTAATAACATCCCTGGATCCCAGACAGAACACAGCCTGAAAGCTCTAACTTGATGTTGTGAGCCATCAGAGACGCCCATTCGGTCATTTCACAGCGTTTTCTCATCACTCTGTCTCGCTTTGCAGTCTGTTTCTGGTGCTCTCAGCACTTCCCCGATAAAGAAAGAACAACAGACGCGAAATGTTCCAGCTGAGCCAAAGACTTCTCATTTAACGTTTGTTCTAGTTACATCGCATTTGATCCAAAAGTTCAAAGCCTCTGGTAAATAACTTGTCTCACGTTGTTTACTTAATGCCAGTTAGTGTCTTCTTAAGCTGTGTTTTGGACAGTGTCTGGACAGTTACAAGGAATATTTGTCTAACTTTTCTTTGCCGTTTCACTCGAGCTTCTTGGACTGGATGGCCTGTGAATGTGAGGAGAGCCAAATCTCAAGCTTGAAATGATAAGAGACTTTTGAAGCTTGTTGTCTGGAGGTCTGAGTTGTCGTTTGCTTTTCCCCCCTTTCTTTACACTTTTACCACCTTTATCCAAAAGCACATTTACTGATAATACTTGAACTTGAGCAGATCTTTGAATGCAGGACTCTTACTTGCACTACTATGAGCAGTGTTTTGTAAGTATCAATAAGCCTTAGCAGAGCGTGGCTAAGCACCAGCAAGATAAGTGAAGAAAAAGCCCACACGCTAGCAAACAAACTAAAAACAGCATTTTAAAAAAATAAAACGTGACAATCATTTTAAAATGCGGCTTTGATGCCCAAAGCTTCCCTAAAACTCGCCCACATATAAAGCGATGTGCTTTGTGGCCGAACAGTCGGTTCTCTCTCCGGTTTTTGACCAGGTTTACAGAGACTAGACTTTCACTGGAAACCATCACTCCCAGCTGATAAACCAACCTTTGCTGTGTCCACTGACTTTAACAAAGCCCAACATGCACAGTAACCTCCAACATAATGCTGTAATGAATGGTGTCAGTGCGCTCTTCACTTTTAGTGAGATTAAGGGCGTCTTAATGCTTTCCGCTGATTATCAGGGACATTCGTCTCACTTTCTCTGCCTCCAAACATTTCCTCCTCGAGCGATGACATCTGCCGCCATTTTTTCCAACATAAATACATATTTTGCTGATCAAAGATTTTCATATTCTGACAGAAAACTTTAAAAAGTTGAATTATTAAAGTTCAGAATACAAGAACGTTTGTGTGTTTAGTGCTGATGCACAAGAGGCTTCCGAACGGATGAGGTACGGGAGCGTCGTGGCTTATCTTTTGTCACTGAGTAGGAGGTTTTAAAAAAAGAACAACAACAGTAGTTATGTTAATCTGTTGGCCTGTGAAAGACTGCTGTAAATGTTTGTTTTGTCTAAAGACCGCAGAAGACAAAAGATCTGTATCTCTGAAACAAGCTCTCTGTTGTTTGGCTCCGACTTTCCTTCGCTTTTGTTTTTACTGGAGCTTCTTGGACTGTGGATGGTCTGTGCCTTTGGATGACAAGGAGGTTTTGGGATCAGCTGAGAGAAGAGCCATGATGTCCTGCATAGCCTTACTTATCTGAACTCCAAACCTGTGAGAGTCCTGGGAAGGAAAAAAAGAAAAAGTAAGTATTGAGAAGTGAAAGGGAAGTGTAGAAAGCAGACAAACGTGTTACTGGGTACATAAATAAAACCACAGAGAAGGAAGAAAGAACATGGACAGAAGTGAGAAGTCAACCCCTCTTTAGAATGAAGAAGGGATATTTAGCAAGTTTAAAAATAAAAAGAACAAAATATTTATAGACACTGATCTCATACATTAATTTCAATTTCATTTCAAGGGTCCTTGGGTCCCAGCATTCATGTGGCCCCTTCTTAAAAATCACTAAACCCATTTATACAGTCTTGCCACCAAAACACACATTAAAAGCTCGGGGAAAAGGACACAACGTGTGAGGCATCCGAATGTCCCGAATTCCAGTCTGACTGCACAATGAGTGCGTTCTGCAAAACCAGAGGCTCATCTGAGGAACATTTCGGCCAGGGACCGGACTGACTAACAAAAAGTATGTCATGTGAAGGCCACATGATGAAAAACTGAATAGGCCTTAAACAGTGCACATTAGTCTCAACTCCATGAACTGGAGGGCATAACAGACTGCTTTAAAACAGGACCGAGTTCTCGTTCCAAAACCCAAGTACTGTCAGAAAATGCTTAAATTTTTCTTGCATAAAGTGAATCAGACGAATCTCAACATTCTCAGAAAAAACAGGAACAAATGTTGTCATTGCTTTTTCCTGTCAGAGGTTGTGTTTTCAGGTTGTCTTGTCTTTCTGTCTGAGAAGACTCAGTCCAGACATTATGTCCTTTAATCAAAAAGACTGATTTCCCGATAAGCCCAGGGAAATCAAGGTTTCTCACTGTATCCTCAACCGCCCCTACCGTCACGTTTGCGTCATGTAAACTGAGTATTTTAGGGATCCAAACATTTAATATTTAATACTATTTAATTCTGTTTTATCAAGATTGTGCGCTTATTGTGAAAACTCCCGCAATAAGTTACCACTGTGAGGCTCGGTTCATCGTTGTGTTTTTGCCTCATTCGAAAAATGTTGCTTTTCTTTTTTTTTTTTTTATTACCAGAAAAACAGAAATATTGTTGATATTTTTTTGACTTTTCAAGGGAAACTTCCAGGGTTTTATTCTTTTGTGAGTTGGGATTCATTTAAGCTTAGATACAAGCCTAAGATACATTTTTTCTGTTCCCAAAACCCCCAAAATTTGAAGGTTTCTTAATTTCAGGTAACCCATTTTGAGCCAGAACTAACATTTAGGTCTGATACGAGTTGTGCCTGTGCTGTGCAAAGGAACCAAGTTGTCTACACTGATGATAAATTACAAAAAATAAAATAAAATACAGCAACTTAGTGTATATGGAGCTAAATTGATGTCCTTAGTTTGCAGGCTGTTCCCCTTTTCTCATCATCAGACGCATACTTCACTGGAAATCCGATGCGGTTTTCCTCTGAAAAGGCCTTTCATCTTCTAGACTTTTTTTTTGTTGCTGACGACGCCATCAAAGCTTGCTGCACACTTGGAATCAACCCACAGTCACATTAAGTGCGGAAAGATTTGGTATTGAGGCGCAGAATTGCGAGGATCACCAGGTAAAAATCAAATGGCTGTTTTTGGCATTTCTTCTGAAATTAAAAAAAAAAAAAAAGATTTTAGATGAATGTGTGTTGACTATGAAGAGCTGATGATTAAAAAGGAAGTGAAAATGAGCGAAAGCGTACATTCTTCCCTTTCGTGGAACAATGGCCATACCCTGTATACATGACATCATTCATTTTATTAGCAGCTTGACAGTGCCAATAAAGTTACTCAATCACACAGTTTTGGTCTTGGTCATATAATTTTATTTTGTTGTATCTGCGACACCTTAAAGGCCAGGCCATGAAAATATTGTCTGACATTAAACCGGTCCGTGGTGCAAAAAAGGTCGGGCACCGCTGACTTTGTGAGAACCAACTTCTAACTTGTACTGTAGGGACTTATCCAAAGGTCCATCTGAGCCAAGGAAAACTCCTAAAAACTAGTCAGCATAAAACCAACACTTTAGGATTGACAGAGCCAAGATAAACATCCTGGCTTTTTGGGTCTGTATGCTGGGTTCACACAGTAAAACATCTTGTTTACAAATGTGTTACATGGGGTGGGACTACAGCTCAGGAGGTAGAGCAGGTCATCTACTGACTGGAAGGTTGGTGGTTCAATCCAAGGGAGGAAATACTTCCAATTTAGTGAAGCACCTAAGAGGCCAACACCCAGATCTGTTCAAAAAATTCAAGTTAAGCATGTTTCAGTTCAGAGTATGTTGTCCTGAAATGCACATCTCCATTGGGTTTGAGAAAGCTGACACTGCCATTGAGAAGTCAACAAAAATTTCTGCAACGGCTAACACCAAATGCTAATGCTATGCTACCATAAAAGCACTATAACACCAACAGGATACCATGGCAACCATCTTAACATTTCAGCCTGTGTCTTGTCATCAAAGCATGTTGTCAACATTTTAAATAAATGAGCAGCCACCATGTCAATGTTTTAAAACGACTTAAACTTAAAGTTTAAATATGTTGTTATCAAGAATTCTACTGGTATTGGACACTGGAATACCAGTACTACAATTCTGGGATTTGCGATCTTCTCTTTCCAAGACTGTGCCAAGTTTAAAAGGCTTGAGAATATTGTCTGGTGTAAATGTGATTTCCTACAACAGTGTGTGATGTCTCTGAACTCCAAGACACGGAGACGTTACTTACAGTCTGACTGCAGGAGTATTTGGAAGACACGTGGAAGTTGACCATATCTTCACCCACGATGATGTATGAAACTCCATAACCATCGTCAGCGACCTGACATGACAGTGAAGACACGAGGTTTCGCGTTAACGCCTCACATACCACCCACCACAAATACATTATCTAGTCTCCTTGTCTTAAAAGATGTAAATGTGCCCACTCACAGGTCCAAAGCCCCCACCAAGCGAGATGAAATCTGGGTGGTTCTTCAGGTCGAACAGATTCATCTGCTGAACTGGAGTCTGACTGGTGGAGAGACGCCAAGGCTCAGACAGAACCTTTAATGAGGGATTGAGTGAGAAAAACATGGGGTGACCAGCTAGAAGACACCAAATTACACAAAACCTAATTATGATCTTTTGAGTGTCGCTGTGGTTAGCACTGTCGCTGCAGAGCACGAAGGTCCTGAGTTCAATTCCACCATCAGGCCGGGGCCTTTCTCTGTGAGTGCTGAAGATATGCGTAGCCTATTTGAGAGTTTAGAAATGTGTTGGAAGGTAGAATTATTGTAGAGACGCTGCCCTCGATGTAATAAAGGCCTGAGTGTGTCAGGAATTTAGGAGTAGATTTCTAGGAGCCCCCCCCCCCCCAGTTTGAACTGAAAGTGAGACAAAGAGAGGTTAATGTTGAGTGGAAATTCCCAGGGGATACCTGGGTGGGAGTCTCAGTGTTTGCAGTTTGCTCACTCTGTTTTGTATGTGCTTTAAAGGAATTTGGTGGGTGAGGACATTACTTTTATGACCCCCAGGAAGTCACAGACATAGACACACACACGTGTGCGCACACATACACACAGGTACGCGCATACACTCACTCACGTGCACTCACATAGACATACGGGTACGCGCACACACAGGCACTCACGTGCTCGTGCACATAGACAGTGTTACAACCCGGCTCAAAAGCCGCAACATAAAAAAGGAGATGAATACCAGAGTGTTAGTGAGAAGAGGCTTTATCTTAAAATGGCATAGCAGGTTGGCTCAAATGGCTGGTACCACCGAGGCAAAGACTAGTGAGCTCTCTGGGAAGCTTGCCTCAGGTGTGCTTTTATCCACACCTGACTAGGTGTGGTCAATTAGCACCAGCTGAACACACTGAGCAGATTAGAGGCGGCAGAGGGACGTAACAACAGACACAGTTTGCAGCACACCGTGGGGGTTTTATGATGGGGTCGCTCCTACAAAACTGTGTTTCACAGACAAAGGAGTGAAGATTTTGCAGAGGGACGGCCTGGCAAGTCTTCCCTTCTAGAAGATTGCATGCTTAAATGAAGATGAATAAAGATGAATAAAGTTTTTGTGAAAATGACTACTGAGTCCGGTGTCGTCTCTGGATGCCCGAGGAATAAAAGAACCGAGGTGAATGGTTGTCTGTCGCTATGTGTTAGCCCTGCAAAATGTCCAGGGTGTACCCTGCCCCTCACCCTGTGGTAGCTGGAATAGGCTGCAGCCTGGATGGAAGGACAGCTTTGCATTCTTGACTGATTATATACATCGACTCTTTATTGGATCAATATGGATTGCACAAAGGGAGCCAATAGTCATGTATTCATAATATGTTAGATATGCATCTTTAAAGCAGCTGATCAATGGCACACTCCATTTTGTTGTTGCGCTCTTAATTGTTTTATGGTTTGTATTAATAAAACTGAGACAGTGTTAAATTTCTACATTTATGATATGAGCTCTCCAATCCATCAATAAGACTGTAGGGTCACCGGAAATCCTTTTTCTCTTTACTCAAAGCATGCTGTGTGCAGTATAACTGGAAACTTGAGCCTGAGGACATAACGTCATCAGGATAGTGTTCTGATCTGAAAGCTACATCCACACTTGGGCATATATGGGAGCGTTCACTGGCTTTCACTTTCTTCTGTCCACCTGACATCAGAGTCTTTGGTGTTTGTGTCTTGTTGCAAGTTTGTTTTGTCCAACAAGAATGCTGCTAAAGAAGTGCACGTCCATTTAAATCAATGCAATCTGTTTACATATGAAGACAGTCACGACAGTCACGACTTTTCAAAGAGCTGAAACTCATTCGCGTTGGTCCCGTTTAACCTGTTTGGACTTTTAAACCAAACAGTGTATGAATATCAGTACATCTAAATGTAGCCATCCTCTGGAAACGAGCCAAGGCTTACTTCTTTGAGGAAAGGCGACTCCACTCCCAAGTATTTGGAGACTACGTAAAGGCAGAAGAGATGTCTGTCGATTCCTGCTCCAGTCATAGCCATCCGATAAAGGTTCTGGTGCCTCTCAGAAGCCAGTTGGAAAAGGCGTCTGCATTCCTCCTCTGTCTGTCAAAGCAAACAAACTTCTGTCACGACCAGTCCTGTCTGTACTTAGTAGCACTTATGAACTTACTGCTGCTGTGCTATGTGTGTGGATGTGTGCACATGTTGCTCCTGCTGGACGATTTAACACATAATGACCAACAGTTTGATCCACACAGCTTACCAGCTGGATTTCTGTAGACCCACTCCAAGTGTTAAAAGGTGTGTGTGTGTGTGTGTGTGTGTGTGTGTAATTGCTGGTGAATACAGTGTAGTGCCCTGCAGTGTGTGTTCTACATACACTGCAGGGCACATTAACTTGTTGACCTTAGGATACGGCTGAGGAACTTGAGCAATATTCCAATGTAGTTCTCACTGGTTCACTCAGCTAAGTTTGGACAGGCACCTTGAACACGGGCACTCTGCATTCGTTTTTATTTTTTCAACTTTAAGCTTAAAAAAATGAATAACAAGTATTTTAGTACTTCGGTACCTCTCCACTCTCCAGAGCTTTGATGAAAGCACAGCTCTCGTTGGAGCAGGAGCGCACAGTCTCTGTCCGGCCCTCCCTGAACAGACGGGTCATCGATGCCTCGTAAGTCAGACAAAAGCCACCGCGATCCTGGAAGCAGAAAAGTGAAAGCAGGTGGGGAGAAGTGGTTTGAAGCACTAAAAGCCAAACTGGACATGCTAGCTGATATGTGTGTGCGCTACAGATCTGTTCTGAATGGAGGATTTTTCCACTTTGATAATACAAAAAGAATACTGTGTTTCAATTGAAGAGGGAAAAAAGGGGGCAAAGCTTCCTTTGAAGGCTGGGAGATAACTACTCCAAAGATCAGGAAAGTCAATTTTGATGAAAGTCTACTATTATAAAGAAAATGGTTATTAAGGAGTTACACAGGACTTAAGGAATGAAAAAAACTCCACCTGATAAGCAGATTCACTAACACCATCAACACAAATATCCATCCTTAATGACAGGTCGTCTCATGGGAACACAGGAAGATTGAAAAGTTGCACAGACTGAATACAGGCCTGCAGTTGTGTTTTCTTGGCTTGGAAAGCCAGAGATTAACAAAACAATTCATATACAGGGTGTGTCGAAAAGAATAATCTGATTTCAGAAGGCAAGATATTTTAAAATATGTTTTGTAGGGAGCTGTCTGCTCAGTATGTTATTTGTACAAGCTAAGATGTTGTTGCGTTCTTTGAGTATTGTACATTAGGGCTGCTCGATTATGGCAAAAATGATAATCACGATTATTTTCACTGAAATTGAGATCTCGATTATTTGACGATATTTATTTAACCCT